ATATTCGTGAATGTTCTGACGAAAAAAACATCCAAAACGTACGAAATTACGGTGCATGACTTTTCGTATGATTTCATACGCACTCATAATGAGAATAGGTTGTTTTATTTATGGTCCACTGCATTGTGTAAAGAAGAGATCTGTTCATGTCCTTTTAAATTTCATTTCTGGAATAGAAAAACTAGCAATATAGATATCAAGGAAAAACCAAATTAATGGTCATTATGCTTGTGTTTTAATTCAGAGACTGGTAATAGCTCGTGTCCCAGTACAATTTGAGTTTTTTTAAGTTGACAAAGAGCATTGATGTTTTTGTAAAACAAGTAAATGGGGCATAAATAGTGTTTTGTGTTCGGTGAATGAAGAATCTTTATTTTTTGCTTTTTGATGTTTTTATTCTATTAACATTATTTTTGTTTTATTGATTGTTGGATTGTGTAATAAAGGCAATTTTAAACTTTAAAGAAAGAAAGAAAATTGCAAGTGCACATACTTACCCAAATCAACCTATATGGAAAAAAAATCACCTCATTGTTAAATGGTGGAGTAGCTTGTCATGATCTGCAGTATTTTTAGTTTCTGTATCCTAGATTTGCATTCCTGCTACTGCTCACTGCTCCCAGATTCAGCAGTACTTTCCCTAAGTATCTCCGCTTCCTGCTCTCTCCAGCTGTCTCATCTGTCTTGCATGCCAGTTATCAAGCTCTAAGCAGAAATACCTTTCAGTTTTCTTAGCTTCTCTTATTGCCACCAGCCTCTGTTTTTGCGTTCCTCACTGATTTATTTATTTATTTGGAACTTGCTTAAAAATCCAAGTTTAATAAGTTACATATCTTTTCCTCATTTTAGGTTAAAAAAAACTAAATTTTAAATATTGTAATAATTCTATGGGTATCTGGGTTTTTTTTGTTTTTTTTTTGAAGGCTACACTAAAGATTTTGTTTTAAGTGAAAAAGGACTTGATTGATATAATATTGCAAGTGCAACACTGTGAAGTAAAGTTAAAGGTATAGTGGAGGAATTGTCAATCATTCTGGTGATATGTCTACATATGCCCCCAGTTATCTATCTTTTTCTGCGAATGTGCACTTTCAGGCATATATCTGTGGTGGTTTCAGACAGTCATTGAAGCTGACCTTTCTCACTTTTGAAAATGGTCGAGGGTTGTAAGAGAAAACGTGTCTACGAAGTGTGTGAGAAGAAAAGAAAGGCCTCAGAAGAGGCAGATATATCCCAGAATGCTTTGTGCGGAGAGCTCTTATCGCAAAGCATTGTGGGATTTGCTGTCACAGCGACCCGCTGTCGCTATACAACAGCGGCTTCTAATAAAAAAGATGGCGCAGGCATCGTGCAGTGGAGGAGGAGTTACGTGACCAACGGAGAGCAGAAAGTAGTGATCATCTGATTTAGGAGTTAGAGCGGACATTCGGACACAGTAAACTTGTATGAGCTATGAGAACAGCAACTTTTAAACAGAGCGTGCACGAGGAAAAATGGGCTTGTGTACGTTCGTTTAATAGGCATTCCCCCTCAGGAGCGGGTACAAGGTTGTGCATGAGTTTTATTTTTAAAAGTGCAGAGGGCAGGTCTTTTAAAAAAATTGTAAAAATCCTTTAAAATGCTTTTAAGAGCTTGTCATAAGAGTTCTCAGCTATGATGAAAAATAAATCAGGTCTAACTTCACCTGAGGTTGTAGCCCTCCTAAAAAAAAAAAAAAAAAAAAAAGCTTTTATTCTAAGAAATCAGAAGAAAAATATAATTGTATTCTAAAGAAGGTGGATCATACATGTATGAACCAATTTATCTTCAGCGTATTTCACAAATAATACTTCCTCATTAAGAAGTACGTATCAAAAAGGAAGGAAAGCGGTGAGTATTTTACCCGCATGTTGAGTGTTTTCTGATGCAGAACCCAAAGCTCTCATAAAACAAAAATGCTTCTTTGTGAGCTGAACACAGTGAGCTGAGGAAACAAGTCACATGAGTCATCTCACAGCGTTTTCAGCGGCAGAGCGGGTCCTTGATGGGCAAACACCAATAAAGTTTACAAGGCCAGATGCTCCTACTTTATTACGAACGGTCACCATACTGCTGCTCAGGGTGTGAGCAGTAGCCTCCGTTTTGTTCTTTAGGTCTCCTTGAACTCTAAACATACAGAAAACTTTTTCACCTCCCCTTTTTTCCTGGATTTGTTTGAATTAATCAAAAATATAACAAGTAAAAAAAAGAAAAAAAACTGTGCAACATGTAAAATTCTGAGAGAAAACTAAGCCTGTATAATCTGCTGACTGCAGCAAATCAATGGTGAAACATTGTGGTGATGGTATTGTGTCTTTGGAGTTTTCAATGCATTTTTTAATGTACCATGTTTTTTTTTTTTTTCCCCCACAATGTTTACATTTGATATCTGCTGCATTTATGGAATGGAAATGTTCATGTTTATTTACGGTCTGAAAAGCTGTACTTAAAAAATATTTTTATACAATCTGTGTATACAAAATGACAATAAAAGTTCTTTTCAGGAAGCTGATCCTAGTTTTTTGGAAGAATGACAGAGCTAAATACGGGGAAATTATAAAAGCAAAACAGTTGGAGGCTTCAAAGATTTTTAGTCCAGGGAGGAATTTCACTGTAAAACAAGACAAGAGGCTCATTTAAAGTAATGTGTAAATGTGGTCCAGTCAAAGTCCGGATCTAATGATCATTAGCATGGCTTATACTTTTTTGTTAACACATGGCTTCCAATCAATCTGAGTAATTAGGCATCAATCAATCAGGCCTATTTCCAAAGAATAAGCAGAAATTTACTGCAGCAGCCAAAAGGTCTTCAGCTGTATACATTTTGATCCTCAGGGGAATAGATAGATATAAATAATACAAAAAGTATTCAAAGCAGTGGTACATTTTTATTCATAGTATTTTTTTATTTTAGCAACATGTTCAATCTGACTCTAAGTAAAATCAAATTTTGGATTAGCCAAGCCAGTGGTTGAGTTTAATGGAGAATCCGGATAGGAGGCTAAACATTATGGTGATGGCCAAGAGGCTTAAACTTCAAAGACTTGGAGTTAGTCATGAAGGATAAGTCACAGAGATGTCAGGAAGCCTGCAAAAAGCTTGTCAACAATTATAAGAAGGGTTTAATTGGTAGCCTGGCCCCTCATACTAATCTACAGGGTGTATTAATCTGGAAAGGAGCAGGTAGAAACTGATATCAAAGGAGAAACTAACAGAGTCATCGGAAACAGTTTAGAACAGATCTGATTACTACGGATGTGACAAAAAAAAAAAATTTTATTTATAAAAGGAAAGCTCTTACACCAGCCAGATGTTAATTTTTTTTTACAGTGTCCTGTCTGGCAATGTGGCAATAAGAATAATTGTCTTGATGCCAAAAAGATCCCAACAGATTTTACTTTCACAAGTGGAGCAGTACGGCTATCGCCATAGTGTTCCGCTTGTTTCATGCATATAAATTGCTTTATTATAATTATGCAGGGAGTTTTACAGATTATATGGAAACTGCAATGTAAATACAACAGAAGAGGAAAACTGGAAAAAATGAGAGAAAGAGGAGATAAAAGGGAGACAATGATAAAACATTTTCAGTCTGCTTCATCACCTGCAAAGAGATGTAAAAAGAACAACACAACCAACAAGCATGGTACGAGGCATACAATAAAGTAACACCTAGATACTATCGCTGAAGTAGTATTATTTAATCTGACATGTACTCTGTGTTACCTGAAGATAAGAATATGGGCTTTCTTACAGTTAAATTTTAACATTTTAAATCTTTGGGGAATTAATAAAGGGTATCATTATCATTGAAGC